CCGGAAAAATAATTTTACCACCTCTGCGTTTTTGTCGTACACAAAATACTCCTCCCCGCAGCCGGATTTCGGTTGTGTATGTATTATTGTTTGCGACTACCCTTTACAGTGTAACCTTCTCCTCTCGTTTCTCTGTCACTGTACCTGTTGTATAAGAAGTGAAAGATGCAATGTTTTTCATGCGTTTTCAGCAAAAGCAAATGGTGTTTTCTATATTACCGGTATATAATATTATATTCTAATTAATCATCGACGACACACATGCGGTGCAATACTCCATGTGTTGCTACGCGAATAATTTTGCGGTCTATGATTCTAAAATATTTTTGTTGTGGTTGGCACAAACTATATAGGATGTGTTATTTGAACTATTCTTAAAACCGTTTTTACATACGCGTTTTACGCGTGCAATATTATAAAACAACACGGTTAAACAATTTTCTAGGTAAACTATAAAAGTATGGCCTACCCACACGACAGAAGCTATATCACACATTGCTCTAGGCCTAAATATATATGACTTGTATTTTTAAACACACTTCTAACTTTTCATTCAGAAATGCTTTAACAATCATTAAGAAAATAAAAAAAAACAGTACTTACTCGTACCTATTTTAATTTGTTATTTTATATATTTTACTGGATGTAGAAACGTGTAATTTAATTGTTATAAATCTATATTGGCTATTTATAACCATTCTAGGTAGGTAACTAAAAAGATTATTTCAAAATAGTCACTTACTTCTGAAGTTATATTATTGTCTATAAAAATGCAATGTTTTATTTATATACAATTAATTAATTTTAATTCAAAGTCAGTTTTTGTTAGTCTAAAAATGAAGTGTTGAAAAATTTTTACATACTTAAATATACATATATACTATTTAATTATTTAATGTACTATAATGGTATTGATTTCTTATAGTTATTTTAATAATTATCTATACCCTTGATTTCCAAATTTACCTGTATACGGTTAATAATATAAACGGTATAATATATTATGATGAAAATAATATAATTTTTTATGTAATAGATGGATATACATTTGATATTTTTTTAAGTTGTTATTGAAATTAAAAATATTTTTGATATATAATACATTTATATGTACAATTTATTTTCTATAAAAATATCTATAAAAGATATTATAAAAAAAAAAAAACAAAAATCACCACTTTGAAGAGTTGATGCAGCCGCCTTCGAGCGTACCATGTAATATTACATTTTTTAAGGCTAAATTTGAATAATCATATTTTAGATTGTCTTATAATTTAGAAAATCAAATTTGAACTTGTTTTGAAAAAGTTGTTTTAATTATAAATATTATACTGTATTACTCATCTATCAATTCGGATTGAAATGAAGATGGCACTACAATACGTTCCCCAATAAATTACCGAGAAAAAATGTTTAAACCAATAACAAAATATGTTAAGTTGTTTTCAGTAATTTTATGTAACGGTTAGTTTACAGGTCCCATTGAGAGAAGTATTTGGTCGTAGTCTTCCCATTTGATCACATCTGATATATACATAATAAACTGTATTGTATGCATAATAAACTTCTATAATTTATATCATAGTTAGATGTATTGTTAGGTACCAATAATATTACCACAGTAAAATTTTTTTATCAAAACCAAAATGTATTGTATACAGTAGTGTTTTGTATTACTAGTGTTATTGTAGGATATTACCGGATATTTAGCATCTCAAAACTGTGTAGGTATAACACGTTTAAATAACAAAACGGGTTATTGATAATGAAAGGATTGGCAACAAACCGTAAGATCAGCTGATGTGTATATTGGCTATGTTACAGAATTTCACGTATTGTTGTTGTTAGATTTTTATGTTTGTTGATTTTTTTTTTTCTGAAAAACGAAAACCTTTCTTAAAATTATATATTAGGTCAATTTAAACCACAGGTGACATTTGGGGAGGAGGTCATGTGCGAGCAGTTGCCCCACCAGAAAAAATATTGAGGGGAAAAACTTATCATTTTGCCCTCCTCCTAAGTTAAATATTATTTAAACAATTTTTAAAAAAATATTTATGTTAAAATTACGTTTGAACAATTATATAAGAAAATTATTCCATTTGTTAAGTCAGATCAATACTATCAAAATTATCAGTATTACTATAAATTAATATAAACTAATGCATTAATTTACATACATTGATTAAATATACAATACAGTATATTTAATCAATGCTTTGATCTATACTTTTAAAACATAATGATATTATATATATGTATATATTATAACATATTACATTGATATTAATTTATATACTTATCGTCTTAAGTTATCACATAGTAAGTAAGTAAAAATCTAGGTGTAACAATGTATGATATATGCATAAGTTGAATGTGAGTAGCTTTTTAAATTGTGATTAATTGTTGCCCCCCCCCCACGACAATAAGAGCCAAGTACCGCCTATGATTTAAACATATGGAATACGTTAATTAATGTTTGCACGTTTGATTTAGTATTCTTAAATGAATATATATCTAATGGAACACTTCTCAAACTCTTTTTGTTTGTTATAATGAAGTATCATATTTTTACATAATTAATAAAAGAATAACTCCATACAGCTTGTAGGTATATAGAATTATTAACTTCATTCAATTTATACAACTAGACCGATATCGATTGATAATAAACTGCAAAACATTATAATCATTATCGATTTTAAATTTGAATATAATTTCAACCGTATTAACTTCGTACTTTTACGAATAACTATAGGCGGTTATGAAATATTGTGTTGGTTATTTAAATTATGAACAACTATGATATATAGGTTTCTGATAATAAAAACTATACACAGGCCTTCGAGTGAACGTAGTTCAGATATTTATTGGTTATACACGTAAGGACAAATTGTGCAGTCACGATCAGTATATAGGAACTTGAACCGTACATGATCAATTATTACTAGCATTAAGATGCTCGTTTTTTCTTCTTTTTTTTTTTACCGGTATAAAATAAAATTAAAATAATCACCACAAAATCAGTTTTTCCGCCATAGTAATTGAATGATTTTTTTTTTATGAAAATAAATTACCTGATGTTGCGTTAGGGTTAGTTGCGTGCTGTTTTTTCCTCAATAATTTCTGCTTGTGTTAAATAAATTTAAACGATTCCAGACGATTTTACGCGGATTGTCAATTAATAAAAACCAGTTCTTATTCTTGATGTCACTTAATGTAAAAAAATTGACAATATTAATTATGGGATTGAAGATTTTGAAAGCTATACATTAATGCAATAACATCTTTACTATTTGCATCTACTATACTATTATAATTCAATGAACATAATATATTCTGCAGTACATCTATGACGGATAATAATTTATACGAGTTGCCGACGCACCAATGTTTTAGTCAATTACCATAAAGTATGTACTTAATTTTAACATTATTCGATGACGTTTTCACGCGCGTACGATTTTTACGTTCATCTGCGGTACATCAAAACCAGACGCGTTCAGTGTGTTCAAGTTTAGATACGTATTTTTACACTTCGCCGAACGTTTTACGGTTCGTAGACATTTGTTGATCAATCGTCGATTCCGAGAAGATCACCGAGAAAATAAGTATAATTATAAATCAATAAGCCCGTCGTTAACCGGACGACAAAACTGTACTCCACGACGGAGTTCGTAAGCAATTACGTTTGCCGTTTAAGTATTTCACGCGGGAAAACGATGACGAATACACACGGTGTTTTTTTTTTCGATTGTTAATTTTTATAAATTTAAAGGTGTGGCCAGAGAAAAGGAAAATACAATAGGCTGTATTTATATTAATTATTATTAATTTTTCTTCTAACTTTTCGATGTTTACCAAAATACAAATTATACAATATAACAATTTTATTTTCATAGAGAACTGTGATGGTTGAGCGTGCACACAGCGTTAAGAAAATACCTACCGCAGTACTACCGTGTCGATGTTTTTATGATATCAATCTCCTCGGCGGTGAAATTATTTTTTACAAGTTTTCAGTTGTGTATTGGAAAAAAATAAAATGTTTTAAACGAATGATTTTTATCCGCTGTTCGAATCGTTTGTTTTAAACACGTCAACGGAAACCGATCGGGATCGGATAACGCGCGCCTCGCAGCGGCCCGCACGTAGGGCAACGGAACGCGGCTGCTGCGGTTCAGTGACGAGACGGGGGACACGGGACGGTTACGGGCGCGAGCGTCCTCGAACCGCGTAGGCGTAATGAAAATCGCTCGGGCGCGCGCGCAACACCGGCTGCGGGCAGGTGTACACGTTCTCTCTCGCTCCCGGACAGGTACGTGCACGGCGCGCGCGCGCGGTGGGCGGCCGCGACCGGTGAAACAATTTGCCGTCGCGCTCGCGCGAGATCGTTCGTCATCGCGGCCGTCGTGTCCGCGTCACCGCGCGTCATTGTCGCGGACACCGCCGCCGCCGCCTCGGGACGTTTACCGCGCGCGCGCACCCAACAGGATTGGCCGACGTGCGGCGACGGGGGCGTGGTTTGGGACGTGATTGATCTTTTTCTTTTTTTTTTTTGCCTCTTATCCGTCGTCTATCTCTCTCTCGCGCGCGCGCCGACACACACGTACACGCTCACCGCATTAGAACGTGTACGCGAACTGTATAATTTTCGCGCGCGTCCCTCTCACTCGTTCTCACTATCGCTCCGTCGCGCGCGCTACCGCATCGTATCGCTCCCGTGCGACACCACTTTTCTTCTCCTAGCCGTTTCTTTTTCCTTTTTCGCTCCTCCTCCACCTCCCCCTCCGGCGGCTACCTCCACCTCACCGTTGACCGTTTTCCCCGTTTTCGATATCATCGCTACCGTTGTTGTTATTATTATTATTATTATTATCTTCTCATTTTTTCCGCGCGTCAGACAACGCACCCGATAACATTACCACACACCGTTCTCGTCCGTTCGAGGCGTGTGCGTGCGCGTGCGCGACACCGCGATTATTAACGCCATACATTTTATCGTCGTACCGCAGTTGCGTCTTGGGTACGTACCTATATAAACCTCTACGCGCGCGAATACCGCGGTCCCGTGCACAACAGTTACCCGGGTACAATTGTAAAACTTGTGGCAGCTACATCGTGTCGGCGGCCGAGGCGCGCACGTACGTGTTGATGTTATGCGCGCATCGGTTGCTTTTGGATTCGGTAGCCGCGGGCCGATTACAGTTTCGCGAATCGTACAACTATTCTAACATTATTATTGTTGTTATTATGCGACAGTGCCGTGTCCGATGTACGTTCGTGTCGTGTCGAACGTAGGGATAAGATAGAAATAAACGTTTTTCGACAATTTGATCGCGAAATGATCCGGCCTAGTTGAGATCATCCGTATCAGTCCGTTCAAATGTATCAGTGCGGTTCATATCCGTCCGCGCTCGGATATCATCACCAATCGTCCGGCTGGCCAACGCAGTGTTATCCGCCGCACAAGGTAAAAAAAAAAAAAAAAAACAAAAAATCAAAATAAACCTCGTTCATTAATAAAAATATATCACGGCTTGTAAAAGTCGTATTTAAGATTTTTTCACCGATAATGGATAGAAATGAATATTTGGGCGCGATCTTACCCGTCGTACCTATAAAAAAATTAATAAATTAGAATTGTTAATCTTAACATTTTATATTTGAAAGTCAAATTATCATATACGTTAAAGATTGTTGTAGTTTTTTGTTAAATTTTGCCTCAAGTATATTTGGTTCGAATTTAATTTTAAATAAAAACAAAAAATTACATAGTGTAAGCCAAGTACAGCTTTTTGATCATCTATACCTAAGGTTATATTTAGGCAGTATTTTGAGTCAATAGCTTAGTATTATTATCTGTAGTATATTATATAAAGAATATTTAAATAGTATTAACTAGAATTTAGTTAAATTATGAAAATATTTTATAATTATTCACTATTTTAAATGAGTCTAGTTACTATACTCATGTTTTTTATAAAATTATATAAAATTATATAAAGGTAACTATCGCATCAAATGTTAAATACTTTTATTTCATTATGAACAAAAATTAAATTATACTAACATAATCATTTTTAATTTTTATGAGCCAATTAATAAAAATTAGTTAAATTAGTTTTAGTGGTAGCTATATCATAAAGAACTTAAATTTTCTTCCAGAATCAAAAGATATTACAAACCCATTAATCTAGTATATATAAATTAAAAACAGGAAGTACCTATAAATCATATATTTATAAAAAAAATACTTAAAACAATTGATCGAATTATTCTTTGACATTTTAATGATAGACGTATAATCTGTTCAAATTTAATTTTTTTTTTTTTTTTTTTTTTTGATTCACGATAATCGTGTCTGTTTGTTGTGGAATTTTAATTACACTATTACACTATAACAGGAAGCTCTTTTAGAATGATGACAGTTGAGCATAGTATGTTCATTGTATTTTTTTCTAAAATCGTGATTCATATATATATACACATTTATATTCAATATCTCATTGAAAAAATAAATTAATAAATAAGAAACAATACATCTTATTAATTGAAACTTACCATATATTTAATATTGAATAATAAAATATCATTACTGTAGTCTGTATAACTGTTTATGAGCAAGCTGGTCTATACGAAGAAAATCACATTATAGCCCAGATAACGATCGAAAAATTGCAATCATTTATTACTTTATGCACTAATCGTTAATGCATTTTAAAATTAAAACTCATTTCATTTTAAATAGTTATGAAAAGGTTTTTTTTTAACTTGAAAAGTTATATAATTAAAAATAATGTATTGATAGATATAATGTATATTTATTTATATTTATATATTCATAGCAAAAAGTTCATTGTACTTATATTTTACTAAAGAGTACATCATGTATGGTATAACGATTGGTGTACATTTTTCTACATATTATCAAGTTTTAATTTTCGTGTTTTTGACACATGAATAGAAAATTCAGTTTTTTGGCATTTGCTGTAGTTAAACTAGTTGGTCCCAGTTAGTAAAGATTTTGGCATAAAAATCGTTAAGGTTAAGGTTAAGGTCGAAATATTGGATTAAAGTCGGAAAATGAATTTCAGTTCCAGCTTCTTTTCACTCGGTTGATACATATATTTTCCTTAATATTCTTTAGTGCCGTAAACAATTATATATAGCTGAAATTTAAAAAATATCCGGTTTGGCCACGTGTTTCTCTTGTAAACGTGTCTCACATCATCGTACTTTTTAACGGATTTGTGTGTATCAGTCCCACCACGATATGACCTTGACCCGGAATAGTGGGTTTGCAAAATACTAATGTGCAGTTGATTGGAACGATTTCAAAACGGAAAAAAACGCCTGAAACGCATTGTGATTTAACTAACAAAGGAGAGTGGTGAACTGAGAAAAAAATCTAAAGTTATACGTCGGTCCCTATCCCTATATTTCAATTAGAATTTGCAGTCAATGTGTAACGCATTATCTATTGAATTGAAAATAAATAAAATGTATTGTGCATTGTTATTCAAAGAAAATATAAATAAATTGTTATATAAATTGTTACAGTTTTTGTAACTAATGTTTATGAAATATTTAAGTGCTTGCATACATGGATATATAACTAAAAACTTAAATATAAGTATTTTGTATTTTGTATCAATTATCTTTAAAAAATAAATAATGCGTTATTTATACTTGACCTCTGTCTTAAATGTCTATCAGTATTGCGTAGTTTTAATGCATTTCAACATTTTCAACTTATATAAGTCCAATCAATAGAACAAATTATATATTTATAAATTATGTATTTCTGTATTGTCTCACATTTACGGGCTTATTTATACGAGTAGAATAGTTAATTAACAATTAAAGTATACAATTACATACATTTCAAACGACCTTTAATAGACTTCTATTAGTTTATATTTTAGTATTATTACTAGGTATTTTGTTTTACTTTTAGTTTTATCTAAAAGTAATTGAACAAAACAGTTTTATACAACGTTCAAAAATAAATGTAAAAAAATATACGTCATGAAATGATAATAAAAATTGTTTATTTTATTTTATTAATACTGTAGCTAATGTATTATTGTTTGAATATAATATTAAGTACTTTTCCTGAAAATGTGTATGAATAGGTAATAAACATAGGCAATTTTAAATTTACATTATTTTTATGTACTAAAAACTAACTTACTCAGTGTTCATTGACTGCTTCATTTATATATAACAAATAAAATAAAGATGATAAATATTGAAAAACTAGTTAAAACGTATTTAAAATTTCGAATAATTATTAACAACATAATAATATGCTATTGAAGTCAAGAATGAACCACAAGTAATCGGTTTAGTTTTGTTGCATTGAATAATTTCTCACGAGTATTTAACAAATGTGCAAAATCTTTGAACATCTGTTATACATATAAAGATATACTATACTGTTAATGTTATACGATTTTTTTTAATTGGAAAAAAGTTTATTAATAATATTAATTTAAACAGCTTCAACATTTTGTTATAACTTTTTTAATACAGATATATAATTCTCAGATTTTTATTGTGAAGAAACTATTGCGTATGTTCTTTATTAGTATTCATTCAGTGTAAAACAGAAAAAACCTAATATGCATGCATTATTAGTTATATGTTGTGTGTTCATCATAAGCGACTATATATTCTATATTTTGATAGTGGATTTTAGATACCTAGATACAGATTTGTTTTGTATTTAATTTGACTATTTAAATTTTTACATTTGTTAAACTGATTGAATTTGTATTTTTCTTCTTAAATGTTGGTTTGATTTACAATATTTTTTAACTAATTGTTACACTGGTGTGTTTTTCAATAAATAAATTATAATCTTAATTTATAATAATATTATAAATTAAGGTTATAATTTATAACCTTTTATTTTTTTAACATATTATGTTCTACATTTTTCTTTATTAAATAAATTTGCCATGTAATAGATAGAAATTTAAATGAAGTAGTACACATATTTGATATAAATTATATAAATTAAAATATATTAACTTTTTTGATTTGGATTTTACTGTATTATTTATAATGCTAGTAAATAAAAATTTTCAAGGAAAAAATATTCAGTGGGTGGATATATTCGATAGATAACGGAATACGTTTGGACAATAGAATTGCGTTTTGTAGCCGTAATTGATATACACGACCAGATGTATAATATTCTACTCTTTCTGTAATTCCAGTAGTTGGTGGGCGAATCATTTCTACTACTTTATTTATCAAAAATTAAATCTATACAATTCTCCCTTTCTAGATGATATATTACATATTATTCAGACATAAATGTTGCAAAGCAATTTTCACCGTGTCCGGTACGACTATTCGGTTACAGAGTTAGAAAAAAATAAGTATTATATTATATACTAAGCGGAATTGTTAAATAAAAAAAAGGCGGAGAAGTTCCACTCGAATTGTAGAGCTATAATAAAATTTACGGTCTGGCAAATTTTCAAAAGGACAAAATCTTTTTATTTTATTTTTTGTTTTGTTAGAAAATGTTTTTTTTTAGAACGTTAAAACCTTGATGAAGGCGTCATGATTAGGTAATTTAGGTACCCTCGAGCTTCTGTTCGAAAATAGCAGTGATAACTCATATATAATATAAATGTATAAAAATAACGTGTAGAATATATAGGCCATTTCAGTTCGTGAAACAAGCACTCTTGTGATGAAAACATTAGTGCGGTACTAATTTAAAAACGCAATAATGAAATAAAATTGATATTTGACCGAAAACTTGTTTATCAGACTTTGGAATGAAATAATTCTGTAAAACGATTGAGAGTGATATTCACGACTGTATTAGCACGTGATGTTTGGCACGGTTATAAGACACATACTAGACTTGAAAAGATTTCGATTTGAAGGGCATTTGGATATAATCCAGTTGGACCAACGTTTTATTGTATTTTATTTTCTCACGACGTTATGGCTGATAAGTCAGCTTTTACTCATGAGTGTTGCAGGTAAATGTCTGCAAGCCCAGACAGTGTGGCATTATTTATTCAGACGGTACAATGACCATAATATATTTACGTATTTATTTATTTACATAATTCAAATGGTTCGAAAGTATAATAACGGCGATATTGATTGATTTTTAATTTTTTGGTTAATTTTATTAATTATTTTTATGCACATATTATCATGTTTATTATATGATTACGTACGTGTACCTTCATAACTTGAAATATTATATTGAATATGAATTGAATGCGTTTTTTCCGACACCAGATGTATCAAAGTACTGAGCTTACTAAAATTACCTTGTTAGTTTTAAGACACGGTTCGTTGAGTTGAAAAGACTTTCAACTATGGTTCAAAGGACTAGGCGAGCTTATAAGTATCAGAAGTTTTATCTATATTATATTGAGACTGGGTTTTCTAATGGAGTGGACTTCGTGGAATTACTACAGTGAAGCCCATAGC